TTCAGCAATTCTGAGAGCTAAGCTTCTCTCCTTCTTGGGGGTATCCATCTTCATGGTTTGCCTTCTCATTTCATAAGCAGTCAGATTTCCAATCAGTTCATCCAGTATGAGAGTAGCAATATTCTTGGATTCTTGAATAGCAGTGATTTTGCTTTCCCATGTGACTGGCAGAACCCTTGTCAGAATTTTCTCAACCTTGTCTTCTTCAAGAATAACCCTTCCAAGAGACTTAAGTTTATTTGTCAGTGTAGTGAACCTAGTATACATCTCCTGGGTAGTTTCTCCTTCCTTCATAGTAAAATTCTCATATTGAGAATACAGCAGTGTTCCTCTTGATCTTTTCACTTGAGGTGTTCCTTCATGGGCCACTTGCAAGGTGTCCCATATCTCCTTAGCAGTAGTACAACTTTGGATCCTATTGTACTCATCTGGACCTAGTCCACACACAAGCCATTTCTTGGCCTTAGCATTTTTCTCCCACTTCCTCAGGTCTTCAGCAGTACAGTCAGCCCTTGTCTTTGGAACATCAACTCCTTCAACATTCTTCTTTGTGGTTGCTAGGGGACCATCAGTGACTATATCCCAGAGTTCATAGTCTTCCCCTATGATGTGATCTCTCATCCTGTTCTTCCACCAAGAATAGTACTGACCATTGAAAAGTGGAGGCCTAGCAGTGGATTGCCCTTCCCAGTTCCCAGGTGGTGCACTCATGTTGATCTTCTCCTAAGGTGTTAGCCTCTTCTAGGATAACCCGCTCTGATACCAATTGATGTTCTAAACGTCAATACCACACAGGGGGGGGGGGGGATTTGTGTGGTACCCAATTTTCGCTCTAGAAGAACCTGGTTCTTCTAGGTGTACTTACTACTACTGTTTGCGGAATTAAGAGTGCATAAAATAAAGAACACAGAGATTTTTACGTGGAAAACACCTGGCTCAAAAGCTACTACTCAGTAGGATTTTCCCAAACTTCCACTAAAACCACTGAGCCAAAACAGCATTTACAAAACTCTTGTAAACCTAAGGATTAAACTCTAATCCTAGTGTGGCACACATCCTCAACTGTTGCGACACCTTCAAGTTAGCCTATAACTTGAATACTCAAAGTACCTATTACAATTGCTTCTACAAAAGCTGGAAAGGTACAACTTTAAACCACCTACTACAATTGAACTAGAATAAGAATAAACACAATGGAATTGGTTCTTCTATCTTGTCCAAGTAGCTTTAGGAATGCACACTTGAATCTCACATAAATTGCTTGCAAAATTGCCTCGCTCTTTTGCTCTCAATTTAGTTTCACTTCTGCGTTTGTGCAATTCCAGTAAAAGAGAACAATCTCAGTTATTTAATTAGTTAGTAACCAGAGTTTGATTGAGACTCAATTGCTGATCCTTTGTCGAATTTGAGTCCTAGAACAATACAAACTCCAACCGTATCCTTTATCCGGACTGTGTCCTCTTCCTATAAGGAGACTTCCTCTCCTCATCCAATATGCAACCTTTTCGATTAGTTCAGAAGATATTGCTGCTTGATCCTTGAGACTTATCTTCTTCACGTGCATCTCACATGTATAGGTTGATAAATACTGTGCCTCACATGATGGACCCGGTCCATGACTGAGTTTATTTGTCATTCTTCAAAACTTCACCTGAACTTGGGCCAACAAAACGGTTCCCGTAATTATGCGTGTGCTTTACATGTTTCTTGTTGCCTTGAAATTATTCTAAGTGTTAAACCTCGAAAGCGAACAGAAAACGGGTGAAGGCTCAGTCAAGTAGGGACTTGAATGCCGCATAGTGGGCAGATTTTCGGCGGACAAAAAATGCCCTTGTAATAGGGGGCATGTGAGAAAACTACTCAGCTGAAAAGTTCGTGGAATGGACTGTTCGTGCTTAGAAAATTCAGAAGAGGCAAGCAAGGGGCAGTAACGCAAATTTTTGAGTTGATAGATGCCAAAATTAATAGTGGGTTCTTTCAAACCAGGCCGGTGTGTTCTGGATTTGTTGTGGGAATGACAGACAAAAAAATCAAATGAGAAAGACATTGCACTCGAGGGCAAAGAAAACGTGATTCTTAAAAGGGTGTTGTACTTGTGATGTCTTTGCAAATGGCGAGCATGTGTTGGGATTATTCAACGAGGACGTCGAATTCAACTGGTTGGGGTGGTTTGTTAGACCCTTGACAAAGCTAATCGGTATTTGGTGCGGTTGTGGCAAGGATTTGGTATGATGGCCTTGCCATTGGGCTATGTGCGGGACAATCAACATGCAAGACAATGAAGGCTTTGTCAATAGCAACAAATTTTTGCAAGGTTAAGGTGTGGCGGACTACACTAAAGCACGAGCGCGGTTGTGTGCAAGCAAATGCCAAGGTCTTGAGGGGGCAAGGCAGGCTGGACAGAAGCTTGACAAGGTAATGTGGGCAAAGAACCTAGGCGCTAACGCAAGGCGGCTTAGTGCCAAGGCAGTGTCATTGGCAACACGGTGTTGCCTTGGCTTAGGTGAGCGGGCTGGCACCTAAGTATTTTGTGGCAAACGACTAAGCAAGGAAAATCCATCATGGCTTGGTGACTTGATGCCAATATAAGCTATGGCATTGGCAAGGGCAGACTTGCTCAAGTTGGGGGCGACTTGACATGAACTAGTGGGCGTGTGCAGCTAAGTCATGGGCGACAAGTTATGGCAATGACATTGGGACGAAGCATTGTCAAAGGGAAAGGCTGGGTGCAATGCCAGCCTTGGACATGCAACAACTAGCCAAAACATTCACATACAGTGCACAAGGAGCGGTTACCAAGTGTGTTAGGCACATGGCTGTGCAGTTGAGAGGTTACAACTGCCTTATCCAGGTGTGCCTATTTATTAGGCTAAGTTTATGCACGTTTTGATCACGGCCTATCAGTTGGGGGATGTCAACTGAAATAGGAAAACTGACTCATGAGAGTCTAACAAGTGTAATAGGGGTGACTGCACTATAAATATGTGCTAGCAGCACCCTAATTTTGTCTAAGTACCCAGAGAGGGAAAACGGGCAAGATGTAGGCATAGGGTTGTCTATGTCAAGGCTTGAGCATGGCAAATTATGTGCCATTCCTTGCCAAAATCAGTGGGAACGAAATGCCTTAGGCAGGGGCCTTTAGAAGCCATATTGTAAGTGTTGGCGAGTTTGTGAGTTGGTGACTGCCAAGTGAGGCAGCACCATGCCAAACTCGAGATTTTTCTTTGTAATTCATTATTATAAAAGGTTGGGAAAGGGTTCCCGTAATTCTGCGTGTGCTTTACATGCTTCTTGTTGCCTTGAAATTATTCTGAGTGTTAAACCTCGAAAGCGAAAAAAAACTGGTGAAGGCTGAGTCATGTAGGGACTTGAATGCCGCAGAGTGGGCAAATTTTCAGCGGCCAGAAAATACCCCTGTGACAGGGGGGCACGTGAGCAAACTGCTCAGCTAGTCTAGTGCCTCCATCGGACTTTTGATCATAAGGGTAACAAGCAAAATATATGACTGTTTTTAACATATATACACATTCAAATTTTTTGTTGAAGATAACGGGGCCGGGGACCCCTCTACTCCAAGCATAGGTCCGCCTCTGCAATTGACCATTAGAGAGAAACTTATATCTGAAGAGATCTTTTAATAAGATAATATTCTAAAAGAAAAAAAAAGGAAAAATTGACACGTTGTATAATGGATGCGGCTCTTCGCAGAAAAATACTAGATTACAATAAGTTGTTCTAAGAATCTTAAAACTCAAACTCATCAAATTTAAACTTTGGATTCATCTCTAATTATATTTCGTTCCATAATAATAGCAGCATTAAGAGAAAGACTGGGGAATGCTTAAAGTGGAGAAAACTTGAGTCAAAGGGAGTAAAGTTTTTATGACTTCAATTATTTAAATGAGCATAGAAATTCAATAACCCTTCATGCTTATGCAATATTGGCAGAAACGTGGTTTGGTAGACTAAAGATTGGTAACGCAAAGTCACAAGCCACGTCTTTACCAGAATTTTAGGAAAATAAGATTTCAATGAACTATTTTCTGGGGTTCATTCAATTTGTTCTTTAACATTTGTAAGGCTGAAAAGACGCTGCCTGCAATATTCATCCTACAACAAATTGCAAATGAGAAAAAAATTTAATAATAAAAATAAGAAAGTTGGGATATTTGTTGATTAAAATGATAATTTGTTCCTTTAACTAACATTGCAATCTGATTTTAGGCTTACGTGGTCCCTTTTAAGGATCTTAAGTGACTTTCTCTTATCTTCTATGTGTGCTACTTAGGCACTCGATCTGTGTAGTGTGGTCTCATCTCTAATCTTGTTAATTATGATGGCGCGCTCATCCTAGTTAAATACAGTTAAACCTCTCTATAACACCATCTCTAAATAACAACACTTCACTATAAAAGCCAAGCTTTTTCGAAACCAATTTTTATGTTATGTTATAATATATATTCTCTATAACAGCACTTCGCTATAACATCCAAAAATATTTGGAACAAACGAGGCTTTATAGAAAGGTTTGACTGTATCTTTTACATTTTATTAGATACAAAAATCCGTCCAATATATCCCACCTTTTTAGTTCTTCGTGTTAGGGTTAAATCCACTATATAAGTTTAAAAAAGGGTAGTTCGGTGCAATAAGTTCCCGCTATGCGCAGGGTTCGGAGAAGGGTCGAACCACTATTTAAATTAAATCCACAATATAAGTTTATAAATATTCTAAATCGAAAAAAAGGAGGAGAACTACAGTAGATTGACTATTGTGTCGCTAGTAATTACTCAAGAGAAATCTTTTGTTTAGTAAGTTTTTGGCTTTACTTAAATTTTAAATAATTCGAAATTAAAAATACTAAATATAGCTAAACTATTACAATTAGAAGGGTAAGGAGAACAAATTTCCTCCAGAAGTAGTTGAAGAAAAACCGGGCGCACCTACAAAAGGAGCTTAGCTTTACACTAAATTTCTATACTATTAGTTTTCTTCCCCAAACAGATAATAAATGATACGTCCCTTTTGAATAATCAATAGCCAGAGAATTTCTGAGCAAAAAGAATCTACAGCAAATAGGATTAAAAAGTAGACATTACTTTTTAATTGTCAAATACAAAGTTCCCTATATAGGGAAATCACTTATATTTATGACAAGAATTTGACAGGTAGATAGATAAATAGGAAGGCAAGAATCGTTGTGTATCCGTTGAACGGTAGCTGAAAGGAATTTCAATAGAATTTGATTAATATTGAAAAATATTTGGAGAAGAAAAAAAAGGGTTCTCTTTTTCATGCATGCATGCATGAATAGGTAGCGGAGGAAAGAAGGACAAAATAAGCCTGAGGGAGAATAGGTAGAGGAATAAAGAAGGACAAATTAAGCCCGAGGGATCGAATTTCTTTTGATTTTGTGTCTTGCTAGAACAGAAAATTAAACATGATGGGAAATAGAAAGAGGGAAATTGTTGAGGATTTTGCAATAATAGGAGGGTTGATAGGGGTACAATTTATGTATGCAGGAAATTCAGTGGTTTCTAGTTATCTTATGATGTTAGGTTTCAAGCCTTCATCTCTCATTATTTTGTCTTCCTTGGCCACATTTCTCATCCTTTCTCCTTTTTCCTTTATGTTTGAAAGGTTATAATTTTCTTTCTCTTAAATTTTTTTCTTCCATTGATTATTTAATTTATTGGCAAATTTTCCTAAATTAAGCTGCTTATATATATGTTTGCATGTTGATGTTGCAGGAATCAATGGCCTAGGGGCATGAGTTTGAAGTTATTGATACAGCTATTTCTAATTTCTTTTGGAGGGTAAATAAGATGGTTTTATGAGCTAGTAATTACTTTATTTCAAAGTTTTAGTATGGCTAAAAATTAAATAGTTCTTAAATTTTTTGCTTATTTTTGCAGGGTTACATTGTTCCAATCTTTGTTCATGAAGGGAATCAAACTTACTTCACCTGCAATGGCAACAGCTATGCCAAACCTTGCCCCAGGACTTATCTTTCTCATTGCTTGGGCTTTTGGGTATTTTACCTTCCAATTTCGTTTTTTTTTTTTTTTTCTCTTTTTTCTGTTTGAGAGATGATTTTTCTCTTGGAAATTTTAGAAAAAAAATAAGAATTTGTATAGGAGGGTAGTGTGTAGGCAGACTTTACCCCTATCTAGTAAAAATTTGGTAAAGCTTTTAAATGTTATAGCTCATCATACGCCGTCTGTGGGGATCGAACCCACGACCACGTGGTTAAAAGCCACGCGCTCTACCACTGAGCTAAGACGGCTTATACAACTTTGTGAATGTTATTTTTATTTCTCGTTGGGATGTGCAGATTAGAGAAAGTGGAGTTAAGATGCAAATACAGCAGAGCTAAAATAGCAGGAACATTATTGTGTGTTACAGGGGCTATACTTATGAGCCTAATGCAAAGTAGCTCAAATCCTAAAGAGGTGCCTTCTTCACCTCCTGATCACAAGGACAATTTTTTCGATCCAGAAAAAATCAAAGGTTCAATGTATCTCATGGCAGCTATCGTCGTGTTATCAAGCAATATTGTCTTGCAGGTACATTGAGTACTTTAATAGGTCTTGTTAGGGGCATATGATAAAATTGGAACGATAGAGAAAAAATTACTATACTATACTAGAATGATACATATAAGTATGAGAAATAGTACAGAATGTTGATAAAATATTTAACTTGCAGGCAGCAACATTAGGAGATTTTCCAGCACCAATTTCCTTATGTGCTATAACTTCACTAATAGGAATGGTATTGACTGGAATTGTACAATTGATTCAACAAGGGAGTTTGGAGATTGGATTGCCCCTATTAAATATCCGCGACTTGATTGGCTACTCCTTATTGGTAATTCATCAAATCACCTAGTCTCTCTAGTCCACCTTAATTGATTTTTTGACTGTTTTCACATAAATTAAAGAATTCATCTTTTAGCATTAATTGACAATGAAATTGACCACATTATTCTTAATTTATTTATGAAATATAATAAATACTCCTAGGCTCTTTACTCCGAAGGCAACTTTGGCAAAAGAAATTAACTCGTTCTTGATATTTGAAAATATTAAATATTGTGGACCACAAAAAAATAAATATTAATAATCAATTAAAGTGGACCGGAAGAGCTAATTAGCAATGGAAAATTCTTTTGAAGATTCAATCTTTTGAGTTTTGTCTACTGTTTGTGGTTATAATGATAGGCAGGTATTGTTAGTGGAGCATGTGTAAGCTTCAATAACTGGGCAATGAAGAAAAGAGGGCCAGTCTTGGTTTCTGTATTTAGTCCTGTTGGCACTGTGTTAACTGTGGTTCTTTCTGCTGTCACCTTGAGTGACACAATTACTATGGGAAGGTATTTAAACACCTTATCTATTTTTACTTGCATTTAATTTATACACTATTTTCCAGACTGAAGGGAGCCTTGGCGTAACTAGTAAAGTTGCTGCCATGTGATCAGGAGGTCACGTGTTCGAGCCGTGGAATTAACTTCTCGCAGAAATGCAGGATAAGACTGCGTACAATAGACCTTTGTGGTCCGACCCTTTCCCGAACCGCGCGCGTAGCGGGGGCTTAGTGCATCGGGCTGCCCTTTTACTATTTTCGCGGCTTTTAGTCCCACCTTTTTTTATTTTATTTTATTTTTTTTATAGACGGTTATATGTAATTATCTTTTAAACGACATAGTTTTTTTTTTTTTTTTTTTTTTTTTTTTTGCAGCCTTGCTGGTATGTTTCTGATGTTTACGGGTCTGTATTTCGTGCTATGGGCAAAAAGGAAAGAAGGATTTCTAAATAATGATATCAACTCTTCAGAAAGTGAGTACGATGTGGAGAAGCCTCTTTTACATTAAATTTCTTCTTATTCTCCTTGTACTTTGTAGATTAATTAGTTTGTACATATAATTAGAAACCAACTTAGAGAAAGAGCGAGCTTGTAATTTATAGTAGTATAAATAGATAATATGTACTCATTAATCTTGACTTGGAGCTCAAAATATATAAAAATCAAAATAGAAAAAAAAAAAAAAAGACTTGACTGAAAAAAAATTGCAAGTTACAATCCTAGTAATGTGTTTTATTTTTGCAGTAGCATGACGGAATATGGGAATCAACATGTTGCTGTATTTCTGGCGTTTTGTTTTCGTTCACTTTTGGAAGCAGAAAGAGTTAAGATTTAAGATTTAGACCACATATGCAAATGATCTTTTTTTGTAAAAATTTAGAACTATATATATAATTTAACCTCTGGAAAAGGGGATTGAATTAATGACCATAAGCTCACAATCATGTATTAATACATTTTTGTTCTTCCTTTTAATTTGCGGTTTGAGACTGACGTTTTAAAATAAAATAAACATCAACGTCGAGATGGCGGGTACTGGGAGTACTTCATCGACTGCAATGGTACTGCCCTCATGTTGTGAACCCACGGCCTTCCGAGTAGAGCAATATATCTCATATTCCCTTCGATCACATAGAATTTTGTTTCTTGGGTCGTTACGGCAATGTTCACTGGTTTGGTTATCTCCCCTTTGGTAGTTTCGCATGCCATGTTGAACCCGTTCAACACCCAAACTGCTGGCACTATCAGGTCTCGGAGACCCCACAGTTCTACGACCCTCGATCTGATGATGTTGGCCGAGCTACTTGGATCAATCAACATACATTTAACCTGAAATTTATTGATAAGTACGAATATTACCAGTGTATCATTGTAAGGTTGTACGATGCCCTCGGCATCCACATCATTGAACGAAATGGTTCCCTCAGAGACGTAATCTCGGGTTCGTTTTTCCCTTGTGATAATACCTTAGTGTGTTTTAGTAATGGGTCCTTGGGGGACATCGACCCCTCCAACGATCATGTTGATGACGCGCTGTGGTTCCTCATGTTCGGTTTGCTTGTTAGAGTCCCTGTTCCTGAAGTGATTTTTGGCTTGACCACTCAGAAGTCCCCGGAGATGCCTGTTATTGAATAACCATGCCACGTCTTCTCTTAGCTGTCATTAGTCTTCGGTTCTATGGCCATGATGCCATGATACTTACACATTTGGCTAGGGTCAGACTGTAAGGGTCGAGGCCACTTGGTGTCTTTGATGAACCCGATGGCGGATACGATGCTGGCAGCATCGACGCTGAAATTATATTCCGACAACCTCAATGCCTTGATCTCGTCCAAGTCACACCTCTATTTAAGTTTATGAAACGTTTAATGCAATAGTAATACCCAACCAGGAGTCGGTGTCGATTTTCCACAGAGAGATATGAATGGGACTTAGGGGTATATATTATAATGTCTGAGCTTGAATTATCTCAAATTGCACTTCCACAAACTTGGAATTGTTTCTGAGTTTAATTTAAACTAAAATTGTAAACTAAGAAATGAAACTAGGAAATTGTTTTGTTTTTTTTGTTTTTCAAATGATATAAAAGGCCTAGGGCTATGAACTTCACTTAGGTGTTTGCCTAATGGGTAGTAAACTTTAAATCTTGTTTTATTGGTCGGGGTGTATTATAGCTATCAACACTCAATAACCACTTAATACCTCTCGGTCAGAGAGTGACTTTGCCCAATTTGGCTTTCTCAAGTCCAAATGGGTGATGCACAAAACAATTGATAAAAGCTCAAGTTGGATTTTACTATCTCTAGGTTCAACCCTTTAATTGGGCCTATCAATCTCTCGATTGACCCAATTTCTTGTCAGCCAAGCTTTCCTAGACTAAGTTTCTCTCTCTCAAGTAGAAACCAAGTCAAATAGGTGATCGACACCAACCCTATACCACTATAAAATGGCAAGAGTGGTCGATGTAGCTTTTACCCTAAAGGTCGGGACCGATATCCACAAGGAGCTAATATTGGTTGGGAGTTGAGTTTCTATCCAATCTAGCTATGCATGTTGCTCTTAATTGCACTTCTAAACATCTTTAGATTTATTCTATTCTACTATTAATGCTACTAATTACTAGAAATAATCTAAGTACAATATTTTTGAAGGGTTTTTCTCAATTGATAAAAAGCACTAGGGAAGTGACTTACACCCAGGCGAGTATCTAATGGGGTCTAAAAGTTAGGACAAGAGTGTTATATTTGGGATCATCATATAACCTTTGCACGTAATTACTCACTCTATACCTCTCGGTAGTTTGAGTGACTTTGCCCTAATTGACTTTCTCAAGACCAATTGGGTGTTCAAACAATGCAAGCAAAATTGACTCAAGTCGGGTATTACTATCTCTAGGTTTAACCCTTTAATTGGGGCTATCAATCTCTTGAATGCACCCAAATTCCTTGTTAGCCTGAATTTCCTAGACTTAGTCTCTCTTTCTCAAGAAGAGTCTAAGTCATATAGGCACGAATCAATGTTTGCAACCACCAATTCAACAATTAAAGCATGATTCAAGCTAAATATCATTAACACATAAACAATTAAGCCCTAAAAGTGAAGACCCATTAAATACCCACACTAGGGTTGGGTCACAACCCTAGCTAATGGGTTTAGCTACTCATAATCAAGGTAGAAATCAAAGATGGAGATAAAATATAAGCCATAAAAGTTGATTACAAGATTAAAATCTAAGAATATAAGCTAAAGCTACTCTAAAATTACTCAACGTGGTAAAGTACGGCTGTTCACGAGCTCCTTAATACAAAAGATGACCTAAAAATGTGAAAAAGATCTATTTATATATAGCTGAAATTACTGGACAAAAATATCCCTACGGAGGTTCCGCTATCAGCGCAATACTGAGCGCCTCAGCGCTTGAACTTTCGCGGCCGCGCAAAAGCAAGCGCGGATCGCGTTTCTTCCATTTTAGACTGGGACTGGGCTTGATTTCGCTGGGAGCGTAAAATAGACCGCCTCAGCGTTGTCTTCAAGCGCGGCCGTGTAAAATGTTTGCGGACCGCACTCTTCATTTGAGCTCAAATTTCCAGGCCTCTGAATCTCTATTTCGCCCTCAGCGGAATTCGCACCTCGGCCGCGTCAGGTATTCCGCGGCCGCATTATTTTATCGCATTCAGCGGTCCCTGTCTGCATCCAAAACACCTTCTCTGAACCTCAATTCCGTTGTCAGCATAATTGTGGCCGCCTTAGCGGTGGACCTTCCGTGGCCGCTCTTTTCCTTTGCTGTTAGCGCTTCTATCTCAGCTTTGAACTTGTGCGGGCTTAACTCCTTTATGAGCTGGTTATGACTTTCTTGCTTCATTTTGACCAAACCCTGCAAACAAGCACAATAAGTTAATTTTCGGGAATACTTTTACACATTTTTGATCTAAAACCTAAGCAAAATAGAGCATAAGATAGGCTAGAATCCGTAATTATCAATAGGCATGAACTAATGTTTGCAACCATTAATTCTACAATTAAAATCAAGAACAAGGAAATAATAAACACCTAACCATAAACAAGCAATAAATCAAACACCCATTAAGATTACACTCTAGGGTTGGGTCACAACCCTAGTAAAAATCTAGCTACTCATGCTTCAAATAAAAGAAGTAGAAGAAGAAATGATAATTAAACCCATATTGATAATTAAAATAAAGAAATCAATGTTAAAAAGCCTCAAAATAGCAAAAACTACTAAAGAGAGTAAAAGAAACCGTCTACTATAATAGCTGATGTAAAAAATCTGACCTAAAAAAGTGAAACTCTTCTATTTATACAGGGCTAGGATTTTCGAACAAAAATGCGAGGTTCTGCAGCTGCACAATTCCATGCGCGGTCCGCACTTTTCTTTATTCTTTACAGGGTTGGATTCCTGCGATCGCATAATTTTGGACTGCGGCCGCACTGCTCTCTTTCTGTGGTCCGCACAATAATATCTGCGAGCGCACCTTGCTCTTCTGCGGTCCGCACAAATGTGACTGCGGCAGCGTAGCTTTTCTTCTGCGGCCGCACAATAATTATGCAGTCCGCACATTTGTTTGACTTGAGATGCAGGTTCTCTGATCTTTCGCTCTGACTCAGTTTCTGTGGCCGCACATATCATGTGCGGACCATACTTTGCACATTTCTCTGATGGGAATTTCTTCATAACCTGCGGCCACAGATGATAATCTGCGGTCAACACTTCTGAGCTTTTGTGCCTGTTTTTGTCCTTGAGTTCAGATTTCTCCTTCTTGTGTTGGATTTCATCTTGGGAGCTCATCTTCCAATATTCCTGCAATTAAGCATGTTTCATCAATTTTGGACTAAAACAAAAGCTAAAAGGCGCTAATAAGTAGTCAAAATCCCCACCTATCAACTCTCCCAAACTTAAGCTTCTGCTTGTCCTCAAGAAAATAAGGTAATTCTTACCTCCACAAGTTAGGAGCTATTCTAGCAAATCAAAGATGCATCAATCACACATCAATTGGGACCAATAATTACCCACAACACTTATGAATTATCAACAGACAATAGATTGAACTTTTAAGCACAAATAGTTCTAATGTGACACTTGAGCATCAAGAATTGACTTTATTCATCAAGGAAGCTCACTCTTTCATGTAGGTCATTGTGGATCCCAAAATCCTCCTCCTCTCCTCTCCGTTTTCATATCTCACTTAAGAATATAGCACTCAATTCAAATATTTATGTAAGGTTCGCTCATCTCTCTCAAAAGAATGTCACAAGTACGGCTTTAAGTACCATAGGCTTACCCCTCATATAAATCATCACTAATGTAAGCTCACTCGGCTTGAAATCACGTATGGGTTTTTTCGGAATGCAATGAAGGATTTTGGACTAAGGTTGGATATGCTATGATAGAACGGGTTCATCTTTCCTTAAGCACTCCATTTTCTCTTATCGGCTCATGCTTTGCCAACTCTTTGAGGCATTTTCTTTTCCTTAAGGTAACTAGAGGGACTTAACATCACTCTTTCTTTGTCATGATATTCATTTTGTCCTTCTTTTGTTTCTCCATGCTTTGCATCATTACTTTTTTTTGAATCCCTTCAACTCTTCAACTTATTCACTTTCTTTTTGCATTTTTTTGTTCTTTATTTTTCTTGCCTTTCCTTCTCTTCATTTCTTTTCTCTTTTTGTGACTTGATACTTTTTTCAAACTCGTCTCTCCCCCAAACATTTTTAGCCAATTGTTTCACAAGAGTGTTAAGGAAAGCTCGTGTGCCAAGAGAGGGTCACGACATAACGAGTAAAAGCTTGTAACATGATTATCAAATGAGAAAGGTTTTAGGCTCAAATGGGTTGACTAGGGATAAAAACATTGGTGGGCCATGGAAAATTTCAAGCGGGTCAAGTAGAGCCTACAATCACTTCTT